CCGGGATTAAGGGGATGCGGAGGGTAATCCCAGCCGAGTGTGCTGAGTAAACCCTCGGGTATAAAGGGATGAGCGCTGAAGCTGTGGCGCTGGTTAGCGAGCAGCGCCGCGAAAGGAGGCGGTGGGTGCGGGAAGGATTTTTTTTCCCCTAAAAAATCACAGAATCATAGAATTTAAGGGTTGGAATGGACCTCAGATATCATCTAGTCCCAACCCCTGCCCTGGGCAGGGACACCTCCCACCAGAGCAGGTTGCTCAAGGCTTCATCCAACCTGGAACTGAACACTGCCAGGGTTGGGGCATCCACAGCCTCCCTGGGCAACCTGTGCCAGTGGCTCACCACCCTCACAGGGAAAACTTCCTAATATCTAACCGAAACACTCACTCCTTCAATTTGAGCCCGTTTCCCTGGGTTGGAACCAGTGGTGGCTATTGGCAGTGCCTGGTCCCTCCTGGAGCAGCACTTGGCTTTGCCCTGGGGTTCAGCAAGGATCAGCTGCCTTCAGAAAACACAGCTAGGCTGGAAGGCTGGATTTAAGCAAAAGGTATATTGCCACATTACCATGTTTTGTTAAAAAGAAGGAAGAAAAAACAACTTGTGTGTTCTGGGATGCTTCCTACCCCTTTCAGCACTGATCCTAAATGATTTTAAATACCATGTGCAGTTCTCAATGTAAGAAGGACATGGAACTGTTGGAGCAAGTCCAGAGGAGGCCACGAAGTTGGTAAGAGGATTGGAGCATCTCCCCTGTGAGGACAAGCTGAGGACTTTGGGACTGTTCAGCCTGGAGAAAAGAAGGTTGTGTGGAGATCTCATAGGACTTTCCAGTATTTGAAGGGGATACAGGGGAGCTGGAGAGGGACTCTTGGTTAGGAGCTGCAGTGACAGGACAAGGGGCAATGGGTACAAATTGAAGGAGAGGAAATTTAGGTTAGATATTAGGAGAAGGTTTTTCCCTGTGAGGGTGGTGAGCCACTGGCACAGGTTGCCCAGGGAGGCTGTGGATGCCCCAACCCCGGCAGTGTTCAGTTCCAGGTTGGATGAAGCCTTGAGCAACCTGCTCTGGTGGGAGGTGTCCCTGCCCAGGGCAGGGGTTGGGACTAGATGATATCTGAGGTCCATTCCAGCCCCTGAAGTTCTATGATTTTCCAGTCTTTAAGGTCCATGCTGCAGGCTCTGGGTGGCCTCTAGACATGCTCCAGGTGCAACCTCTTTGGCATCTCTTTTGTGCCCAAGGCCACGGCTGCTGCTTGGATGCCAAGAGGGAAATGGACCCTGCCTGACTCCCACCGTGTGCCAGGGGATGCCAACCTCCCCGGAAACCAACCCGTAGCTTCAGAACGGCCAAAACGATCTCTGTGTTCATTAGCACGTGTTGTTACTTGTGTGCACTTTAATTGTGCTTGTTGATACGCACAGACAAGGCAGACAGCTTTTAGTACACAATGAAAAAAACCACCTTAAAAATAAGCCAGTGGTTGTAAAACACGGTCAAGGCCTAAAAACTTCTGGAGGAAACGAGTCGTCTGTGGTTCACATAGATGGTGTGACTGAATTGCCAGGGCAAATTTGCTAATGTTCTTGTTGAAAACTGCTGCAGGGGGTTAGAAAAAGTGAGTAGGTGGAATTGTTGCCTGTGCTGTCTCACAGTCACTGGTTTGTTGGGGTCTGGGGCTGAGCTGGGCAGTTCTGGATTGGGTTCCTGCTTTGCTCAAGTTATTTGTTCCTGAGCTTTAGCTCACAAGTGAGACAACCCATTTTTCCATCAAATAACTAACAAAGTTTGAATGAACTAATCAAGTTAGGATAAACTGCACTTAGTAATTTTGTAAAATATTGTATTTTTTAAAATACACCTTTGCCTTTCTGCCTGGTTTTATTTCAAATGTTTTACTTCATCAGGTGTGCTACAGCTAGCACTGCATGCTAGTTAGTGATGCTTTAAAAACTGTCCTGTGTCTTAACTGGAGAAAGTGAGGAAAGTTTAGACCTCAACACTACTCTGCTGCTACTCTGATTTTCTATTTTTTCTTGCTGCTAATTGGATTAAAAGCTGCTTGAGTTACTATGGCATCCGGTGAGGAGATTACTGTCTGTGAAGATGAAGTAAGGTAAAAAACCAGAATTCTGGTATGAGCAGATTTGGAAAGATATCCACAGTTCCAGTGGTCACTTATGACTATCTGAACTTTAAAAATTACTTAAATAAAAGGATATCTTGCCAGATCTCTTCCCCTGTGAGTGTTTGTGTGTGCAAAGCTGCATTTCTGAATGCTGTAGGTAGTGTTTGAGAGAGCTGTTATTTAACAGATTTGTCTGGAGTCTAAACTGGTCATCCTGACTGTTTATCAAGTCTAAAAGACTGAAACACTTTGTTTGAGACCAAACAAACACTGTATTTTAATGCCTACCAAGAAATAGCAGAACTGCTCAGGTGCATCTGAATTCTAAGTATAATTTTGTACCCAACTATCACCTGCAATGGGAGTTTTAGAGGTTGGGTGGGTCCCTGTGTCTTTGTACTGTGTTTGTCAAAATGAGTCTTTTTAACTGCTTTTCTATACTTTGTGATATTTGAGTGTTTGGAAAACACTGAAAACATAAGCAGTTCTGGAAACTTATCTTGTTTTTTGTTTGCCCTGAAGCAGTAAAGCTTCAAACTGCAGAAATCAGGAGTTGAACTATTTCATTGACAATTAATCTGCTTTGTTGGTTTTTCCATAGGTCTCGCTACAGCCACTTAGAGAAGATGACAGATTTGGTGGCTGTTTGGGAAGTAGCTTTAAGTGATGGTGTTCATAAGATTGAATTTGAACATGGGACCACTTCAGGAAAGCGTGTTGTCTATGTTGATGGAAAGGTGAAATTGCTATGTGCTCAAAGTTCACTATGGTACAGATTGTATAAGTGCACTTCCATGCCACACGCATCGGAACAAACTAATAAATGCAAGTGAGGTACATTCAGCTGATTAACTTTACCTAATTTAATGAACTGCATCATTATTTTTTTTCAGTTCCAGTTAAGGTGTGAGTATTCACCAAGTGCTTTGCTGCCCTTGGGCAGAGGCACTCTGTGCATACAAACCACTATGTGTGTGCTCATTCCCAAGTCATAGCTCAGTACTGAGCTGTCTCCTGAGTTCCAGTTCAGTTTTTTTTAATACTAAATTATGCACTCGGGTTTCTCAATTAACACCCATTGTCTTTGTTTTATTCTGCAGGAAGAAATAAGAAGAGAATGGATGTTTAAATTAGTGGGTAAAGAAACATTCACTGTTGGAGCAGTCAAAACAAAAGCTGCTATTAACATTGATGCAGTCAGTGGTTTTGCATATGAATATACTTTGGAGATCAATGGGAAGAGTCTCAAGCAGTATATGGAGAACAGGTTGAAAACGACCAATACTTGGATACTGAGCTTGGGTGGTACAGACTATAGAATTGTTCTAGGTAAGTAAACATTAAATGACTCCATGTTGCTGACTTTGAATAAACTTGTGTGCATTTAATAACTGGTAATTAAGAGGGAGCACAGTTCAGTGGGTGGCACTGGTGCAGTATGAAATCCTGGGTGGTCTGGAAGTTTGGAATTAGATGCCAAAGACAGTCTGAAAAATAATGGTCTTGTTATGCATGTGTGAGCCTACAGCAGCATGGGCTAGGTTTAAATACAAAGGAAGAAAGAAAAGCAGTTGGAAAGTGTTATGGCTTCTGCATCCATGGAGCTCCCCCAGTAAGACATTTCTCCAGGTGAAGCCTTTTATAGAAGTGTTATCTGTGTTGTGCTCAAACCTGGTGTTTGTT